CGTGAATTACCATTGCTTCAGCGTAAAAACCAACTGATCCAGATGGTTTGAATCTGAAACTCCTCGAGGAGACTACCCAGTTCCTTGAGACTAGCTTCGACGCCTTACTCGAAAATGTCTGGAAAGAAGACGGACTACCAACAGGAGCAGATTGAAACGCTTCGACGGTTTTTCCTGTGTCTAAATTTTGTGCAAGAACATCGTAATAAAAGCACCGGGCGTCTTTTTGGCAGCTTCTAATGCGTCCTCTTTCATTACCTTGCGCTTGTTAATCTCCCATCGAGAGAGTTAGATCCGTTGGATCAAGAAGGGGTTCACCCTGGCCAGATTTGCATCGGGCACTTTCGGAAGATTACTGAAGACTCATTAATTCTTTCGATGGCAACAATAAGTTTTCTCTTTTGAATGCTGCTTGACTCTTCTTTATCTGTTTTCAACACTTCATGGATCGAAATACCTCTCGGGCGTCACCCCACAAACATTGAGTCCGCCGAACACCTCACTTTTCTTGCATCAGATCCTTTAGAGACGCAAACTATGGTAAATAATCTAACTGATTCTCCTCAACGGGTTTCATGCTTGGAAAGTGTAAATTTGTACTATAAGATTGCGTGTGACGTGCTCGCAGTTGAGCCGATCGATGTGGTAGATAAGCTCGTCTACCTTAGCAGCAGTGTAAGTCCCGGCGGACTGGCAAAAATACGAAACCATTTCCCGATTTGGGAAGACCAGGAAGATGTTAACCTCCGACATATTTCCCGCCAACGTGAATCATTCAAGCTGTCAAGGGTAGATTGCACACTAGTATGGTTTGATTCGCCTTACTCTATGGTCCACGGGATTAGCCGCTGAGTACAAATCTCCGAAGTTTCTCTGAACGTAACAATCGATTTCTCCGTAGCATTGCGTGGATCCGGTGAGAACATAAGGTCAACAGTGCTGAAGCACACCAATTTGCGCAAGTAAAGTAGATCTTTTTTAATAGGTCAACTTATCACACTGAGTAGGTAACTGGTTGGGCCGAGTATTTCCTATGCCATTGGACCGTTTATATCAGTCTTGAACCTTCTTTGCTCAACCATGTGTCGGAGACAGACGACCCGGGAGCTCCCAGTTCATGACGTAGCAACGAAGCTTGAAAGTTATTACTAGCCAATTCAGTCGCGTTGGTAACTCCCCCCTCCCGCAATGGGGACGCTCGGATGAGGCAAACGAATTGTTAAAGATCCTGACAGGTATGACCCTATCACACGGCCAGCGGTAGCCCTGAATTACATCTGTTGCCTTCAGTGATTAACTCTCTCGGTTCCGGTCCTAACGAAGAATTTCAATAATCTTTCACAGTAGTGTAGGAACAAGTCTTGAAATGGTTTTGCGCTTGTTCGTGTTGCCACGTCTTACATTATTCTTATACACTGACACATTCTATGCATGCGTCGTATTGGATATGCGACAACTGGCAATACATCTTGTTGAGTTACTTATTTTTCACTCACGCCGCCTCATTCTTATGCTTCTGACTTGCTTCGACATAAAATTACGACGAGCGAACCGCTACTGCCGTCCAGATGTAGCTCGAATTTTTTTCATTTACACCTGTTCAGACTTGAATGTGTATTAGTGTAATGAGGAAAGCCCTTCGCAGCGGAATTGTTTATTAGCGAACACCAACTAAGCAGTTACAAACTATTTGACAGGGACGTAAACACGCACCTTGTTTTCAAAAACTGAACATACTCACGTGTCTCCTTGAACTTTCGTGGATATTCATTGACTGTCACGCAACTGTAAACGAACGCTGCACATCAGTTGCGAGAAAACCACATACTACTCACATGTCTCATCAGTAGTATCCGCCGTTACACTAGGAGGTAGGTAGGTACCGAACACCAAGGTCACTGCAGTGTACCGCTAACCTGTTGAGTAAATAACTGACACTCCTTCAGGTTCTGCCTTCGGGCTGATTCCAAGCTCGATGATTTAGAAACTCAAATGGACTATAAACAGTATTTATAACTAATGCACACGTTTCTGGCGTTTACGCATTTCAAGGATGTCACACTCTCTATACTTCCCGACTTCACGTTAATCCACACACAACTGTTACCAGGCGAACTGATACACGTACTAATTTATAAAAACAGACACTTTATCTAGTAAATGAATGGTGTTGGTCGCTGTAGGGGCATTTTGCGTTGCGTTATTGATCACTTCACTGTTTGGGCCTTGCCGGTTCTCAAAGGCGCATGTTTTCTGAGTTTCTAAAGTTCTACACGAACCTTCAACACCAGGGTAGTAGCCGCTTTAAGGAAATCACTGGTTAGATACATACGTGAACTTAGAGCCATGAACAGTCCATAAAACTTGCCGCAACCGCTACAATGTTTTGGCTCAGGCACTCCAAGTGGTTCGGTCCTGTTCGACCTACGGCTTGGGTATCATGCATTTGCACTAACGTGCACTCACTGATGCTACGTATGGAGAGCTACTTTTGTGAAGAAGAACGGACTCGCTTATCGGCCAACACGAACCAAGGGATCACACACTACTACTTTCAACCGCGCAGAGTTTTTGGTGATTGGACATTCTCAAGCGTCTTCTTAAACTTTCCCAGACGTTCTTTCAAGATTAAGCAATGATGAACAAGCACTGCAACGAGATCCCATAATTTCTATGCTAACCTTCCATCAGGAGCGAGGACCTTGCTTTGACACTTGACTAGGCGCCACTCGCATGTTTCGTCAGTAGCATACACCGTTAAGTCTTCTTTTGGGCATTCGACGAACCACATACAGGCCCTGCGTTGTCTGAAAGTGAAGGTTTCTGGGTTGTATCCGAGCCTTGTGAACGAGGTTTAAGGGTTATGTATCATCCTGTTCATTGCACAAGGGCGTATACGTGCTAGGTGTCGCAAACCAGCGAACGGATCAGGTCATTTGGTACTCGCTACCATTACAGATGGATGAATACGTTCAGAAATGCGCCAGTTCATTTTACGCAGTTCCGCATACTGAGTGTTATCATAAACGAGATGGTCGATAGAACATAGGATCACTCTAGGAGAAAAGCTGTGTACTACGATACCTATGTTTCTTGCTCACCTTTGAAGGACAGTGCAGCAAGACCTGGGGACGAGTTCTCTGACGTCCAGATGTATAGCAAACTCATTCAACGAGGTGCAACCCTCTTTTGTTCCTCAGGCTTTTCACGTGGTGGTCCGATTGCCTGCCGAGTCTGTTCAGTTTCGACGTTCAGACGCTAACCGATGTTTTAAACATGGTATGGTTGCAACGAACTTGCTAAGTTCAACAAGCATTTCTACCAGAGAGCATGCTAAACACCACGCCGTTTCAGGGGATACAAACAAATCGCTGATGCCGGTCGACTAAGAAACCATCGTGCTTTCAGGTTAAGGGTCACATAGCCCATAAAATTCATCCCAGGGATACATAAAATTTTGGTTGGCACAGCCGCTTTTGAAATTCCTCCTCATATGAACTCAACTTTAATTCATTAACGAACCTGCCAACTACCTCTCGGTGTTTGCAAAGAAAAACTGCACTGAAGAATGAAAATAGCCACACCCAAGCCTATGATTCAAATGATAAACTACGTCAAGGCTGTAAGAAACACTACGCAAAACACGAGATGGGATGACTCGAATTACTGGTGGTTGATCAGATGGCCCTTGATCTGTTCTCTGACCTTGGCAGTTAGCTTGCAAACGTTCCGTTCCCAGTCGAGGAGACATCGTCAGTGCGCAATTGCGTGGGTTTGATAACTCATTGCCAAGCTCGTTGAACAGATAAATATCCATCTGATCAACGCACCCAAGCTACTAATGTAACGGTGATACTACTGATCGGGAGGCACGCGAGTAGTATGTGTTTTTCGTAGAATTTCGCTTTGCGTCGACTGAAAAAGGGAATTCTGTTGCGGAATTCGTGGGGCCACTTTGTAACATTTGCTTGGATTTGACCGACGAATGAGTGGAGGCAACGAATCTCTAGGAAGACTCGTTCAAGAGAGGATCTGAGTCCAGTTTTTGCAACTAGGATGCAGATTAGAGTTTTGCTTCCCTGTTCAATGGTCTGTAACCGGTCAGTTGGCATTTCCTAATAAATGACTCCGCAGCGAAGGCCTTCTTCCTTTCACTAATATTTTGACGTATTGATAACTCGCATTTCTCAGGCTCCCAAGGTTTCTCTCCTCAAGTCAAAAAATGCAGCGGTTAAACAGCTGGTGGTACGAACCATTTCGTAGATCACATGTTGCATGTAGAGGCCAATTTTTCCAAGAAGAGTTTATCTTGATAGACACGATGACCTGAGTCTTTCTCTGGAGCGTTTTGCACTTTTTTGATAAAACAATTTGACTATCATCCGGTAACAATTCTGAGCAACTTTATACGGCATAATCTGTAAACTAGGTTTCCACCATAGCTGGGCCGAAGTTCATCAGAGTATGACCCCCTTCCTTGAAGTCACATAAATCGAAACAGCCAGGTCCTAAACCCTATTCCGCATGATGGTAATCCCCCTACCCGTCAGTTGTAGATGCAGACCATCCATACAAACCGACAAAAAGCTTTGACTGACATTCGGCTCTGCTAGTTGCAAGAGAGCACACTGACTGTTTCTCTGTGTGCATTTAAACTCGGTCGACCTAGTAACTTATTCGCTTGGCCTGGCAAGGTTATTGTGCCGAAAATGAAACGTCTTTCGGCAATAAATGCATCGACTGCTTACAAAACCTCTCTAAAACGTCAAACATGTTCCACCTGTTTGAATACGACTTGCTCATTTGTCACTTTTCGTTTGAAATTTCGAATAAGGCATTGTTGTCCCCGCTTGTCTTACTTGCAAGATTTCTAAGGTTCTTAGGCTAGATGATGGGTAAATCTGACTGGTAGGCCAAATTTCGATCGATTTCAAATTGATTTTTCAAAAAATTATTTTGTATGCTCTACACTGCTCTTTTGACTTCCCTACCGGATACAGAAGAAACCACTCAGTTTGATCGAACGAATGGCCGACGAGTTGATCGAGGAATCGATGCGGCGTGGTGATTTCGACAATCTCCAAGGTCACGGTCGGCCGCTTCCCGAACATCCGTCACACCACGAGATATTCGTTGATCACTCCACGCACAAGCTCACTCGAATTTTGGCCAATCAAGGTTATCTACCAGAATGGATTCAACAAGGAAAAGAGCTGCGTACACAGTGGGAAAATTCAATTGCTAAGCTCCGAAAGCTGTATTCCCAGATTGACAGTCCGCACACCAATATGTTGTGGAAGAAAGCGGTTTTGGTAGGTGGACCGGATTGTTATCCACAACACACTTTATGATGTTACATTGAACGATAATAGAAGTTACTTGTGAGTGATCAGGGTTGAAACTATTGCAAATGTGTAAGCCAAGGCAGTCAGTCTTACATTAAGCGGTTGGTCATTCATGTGTGGAGTGGGAGACGAGAACAGCGGTATATGGCTTACTCAGAACCTAACTACAATCGTTCAGGATAACCGTACGTTGACACAGTACAGGACAGGCTGAACTAAACGAGCGTCACCGCATCACATGGCAAGTTTGTCTCACCAGTTATACGACCGTAACGAAACGAAGCGAAACGTACTAAAACGAAAAAAGCTGTCAGCATGCGCTGATCGCTGGTTACTGCGGTCCTGCACAACTTCCCGGTGTATACCATATGGTTTACACGGCAAGCAAGGAGACCCATGACCTAGATGAAAGAATGGTTATCCGGCCTAATATGTTCCTCGTTTGAGGAACTATTTCTCGGGATTCTAATACAAACTTGTGAGTAAAAATGGGGGTTTGAACTACTCAGTGACAACACTTTCAAGCAAGAGGCGTTGATACAAGTACAGTAACAATATGCTGTTAATTCTACCACAACCGTGAAGGTTTTGGAATTTCCGCCTGGGGGTTTGAACTACTCAGTGACAACACTTTCAAGCAAGAGGCGTTGATACAAGTACAGTAACAATATGCTGTTAATTCTACCACAACCGTGAAGGTTTTGGAATTTCCGCCGATAAATTCAATGGAATGCGGCTTCGGCAATGGTCAGTTTTAAGTGCAGCGCAAAACGTGCTTGGACCTAGTCGGTAGTGAGTATTTCCATCCGACCGTCACTCATTTGCAGATGCCCGAGTCACTGTTCTCGCTAAGTATCGTGAGCCCGTGAAGGATGACTAAGGATTGCTTTTCAAATTTAGCCATGAGAACAAGAGATAAGCAACCCGTCCATAGGGTGCCCGTATTCGTTTCGTAGAACTTATGTGACCAGAACCCATATGAGCTGAGAGGCACGTGCAAACAATTTACCTATTTGAATTATGAAGTTTTCACTACCGTGATGAGGAAACGTTAGGTAAGGATACGATAGACAAAGTCAAACAAAGTTGAGCTATTTGGGTTCTACAACCAATCACCGTAACCCAAACCTTGGGTTACTAGAGTTCCGTGCTGTCCCTATTCGCAAACACCCCTCAATAAAGTCTGTTGCTCGGGGCCCATAAACAGGGTTAAAAAGAACACCAGAAGAACCGCAGGTCTAGTTATCAGGAGAATTGAAAAACTCCGGTCCTTCATCTTTTTTCCAATAGTTCTCATCGGTTCTCCTGCTACCTCCAATCGCATGGTCTGGTTAGTATTTATATTACGCGGATCTCCTCGATACCAAAGAAGAGTTTACAAGGTTGCCTTAGTAACTATGTTTACATGAACACGTGACCCCAACCTTGAAAGCACTTTTCTGTTGTTTGCAGCCAAGTGATGCGTTGCATGATGTCCATATAGTGTGACTGCGTTTTCTCGTGCAACCTGCGCCCAAGATCAGCTGTTGTGCAGAGCTATGCTGAAAAACACTTTCCCCATAGGCTACAGAAGCTAAGCTTGTTTGACATTTGGGTAATCCCTAGAATGCACGGACATGTCTAGAGAAGAGCGACAAGTTGCGTAAGATTAGACCTCGAACCACGGTTGTAATTCGCGTTTACTCGATCTCACACGCTGGTACCCTGGATTCAGTCATACCACGTGTTCGATTCATCGCACTATCGATCATACTTTGTATAAACTTGTCGCTCAAGCTACCTCAAGGTCCTCATGTCGCGTGCGGTGCGCACAATTTGATCCAACTTTTCCATTTTGTGTTTTTTCCAGTGTAGGACGGTTTTCAGCTTATTGAGCAGTTTTCGTAAGAAAATTTTGAGGCGAAATGATTGTCAATTGAATGCAATAGTGGTCAACACCAATCCGCCCAAACTTGAAATGAGTGGATAATGTTTTTTCAGTTAACTTGATGAATCTGGATCACACACTCTACGTCGTTTATGCTATGAACGAGGGTTCCATCTAAGCCTATAACTATGCTCACTGGATACATCATCACTATTAATAATTAACCCTAATCTGAAATGTATGAGTATATGGGAGATTTTCTCGATAACTTCAACATGACTCTCCCCAGTTTAGTTGTTGAACTACTTTTACGATCCACGTTTTTCAATTGATTATGCAACCACACAGTGTATCACCAACTAGAGTTGAATCACCTCTCTGTTCAATCCATCACTAAGGCTCCCAGGGCGTCTTCTCGCAGAAATCGAGTGCGCAGACGACATAGCTCTTCTTGGATCTGATCCCGTGGTCATCTAAACAACATTAAATGATTTTGCTAAGGGAAACTACTCACAAGGTTGCTGAAAACTCTCCGACAGCCCACGACTGGTTTCGCCCTTCTTGGGGCTCATCAGGTAGGCGCAGCCCCGAGTTTCCGTCAGCCTTATGTTTTAAATAATTCCGCCTCACGGTTTGGCATGCGCTTCACACCTGCAAAGTGTAAAGTGCTACTGCAAAACTTGGTAGGCTAGAACCCTAGCCTCCTGCTTGCGGATGAACCGATTGAGGTAGTGGACAAATTTGTCTACCTGCGCAGTTGTATCGGCCCCAGTGGTCTCGCGAAAGATGATATTTCCATCCTGATTGGGAAGGCCAGAGCAGCTTTTGTGAACCTGCGTCACTTGTGGCGTAGTCATAGCGTCAGCTTATCCGTCAAGGGTCGAGTTTACAATGCTGCGTTGCGCTCCATATTAATGTACGGATCAGAAACGTGGCCACAGCGCGCCGAGGACGTCAAAAGACTTCCAGTTGTCTTCCGTCGCACTGTTCGAGTCTGCTGGGAACATCAGAACAGCAATGCTGAAATACGTCAAGTGGTATTCGAAAGAAATAACTCACCCACGATCATCATCATCATCATCATTGTCAGCTGTAATAACCGCGTACTCGTCACCCACGATAGATGAAATGATCACACTGCATCGGTTGAGCTGGCATGGCCACGTACCCCTTATGCCATTCGACCGCACAACCACGTGAAGGGTGTAAACGAGCCACAGGCGGTCAAACAATAACTTGACAGAGAAGTGTAAAAGCCATTGCCAGCAAACTCGGCTGCACTGATCTTTGCCGTCTTCCTGGATGGGGACCTCGAGACAGGCCACGTCAATGTTTAGGGACATTGTCAGACATGGCCGAGTCGTGCCGTCAATAGCTCTCATGCACCCAATATATTGCCTTCAATGCATAGCTCCTCTCATGCACCCCCCGCGTAACAGTCCACTGACAGTCCTGTATTTACGCACTAATTCATCAACTCCTGCCTCCAGTGCGCAGCTACCTCTCACCTCCCCAAATCATCGGTGAACGATACGGTGGTTGCTACAACCACTGTACGACAAGCACGCGGTTCTTGCAGGTGATAATGATTATGATGATCACTAGCTGATGTTTTTCGGATAGAAACATATTTGCAGTGCTATAAAAACAATTATTTAACGCTCACTATTTTATGTGGACAATGGTTTAATCACTGGCGCATCCGATACGGCAGTTTTTTCTACTTCGTCCTCACTGCACTCAGTTTCGCTGGGAATGAGTACGTCAACAATATATCCCTGCTTCTCGATATTCGATTCAAAGGAGACCATACCTGTAACATTTGTCACCCCCCTCCCTTATACAAGTGACCGTATTCAATTCCGTCCGCAACGCGTTTTAGGAGCAAACTAACCGTGCCACTGGTGAAACATCAAAAGTTGTAGTTCGTTTGCTGGGGAACTTCAGACTCTTTTGAAATTTGGCATACAAACATTCCGACTACTCAAATCAGCCTCGGGCCATACACAAAACGTTCGCAAGTTTTCTATTGGTTCTCCCGAATTTTCTTAGGAAGAAAACTGAAACTACATGAACTCAATAGAGAATAATGGGAATGAAATCGAGCAACACGTAATTTGTTACAATAGCAAGGTCCCATATTTGTGTAGCGCAGTCAATCTCTAAATGTAAGCTGTTCCGTAACACGCACAATGTGTTGCGAAGTGATGCAACAAGAGCCTTGTACAAGTCTATCTCAACCTTCATCGGTCTTCACAGTCTATATACGGCTTTTACGCAGTTGTGAAAGGGGGAGGATACTGTGACTGTCGCAAACGGTGCACACCACTGTTAAACTCACTTGTGTTCAAAATATTGAAAAACAAAGGTACCTGTCAGTTCCGCACAATGTACAATTCGCACGTATAAGGTAGATCTGTAAACATCACACACTGTGAACCATACTTGTGAAAAAGAACTTGCTTCACAAGTTATCCAGAATTTGTTTTTTTTAATGGTTAGCTGCACCCTTCCCTCGACTCATCTAGTATTATGTGGATCGGAACCGAATGACAGTCACAATTAAGCACGATAGACCACAAGAGGCCAACCAATTCATTCAGGACATGATGAAAGAAGTTGCTAGCGCCTAGTGTAGAATGCGTAACAGTACCTTCGATGTAGCCACTGTCTGCATATCTTCTGTATGGCCTTTGGCCTGTGAGTAGGAAACAACCATCAAGGCCTCAGAGAAACATCCAGAAACATTAGTTGTGTAGGCCATCGAGTTAAACGCGGATGACCGCAGTCGATTGATCGAAATACTGCGTGTATTTTCGTCGAAATGGTGTTCAACCATTCACGGCCCTAACGAGAATGCTTTTGTCATACTTGTTCACTTGGAATTCACATGTTTCGGTTTTTCCATGCCTAACAGATATTCAGCCGATGCCCGTAGCGGCCACGTTGTATAACTTGTACTAAAGGCCAGCCGTGAATGTCATCCGGAAACCTAAAAGGCGTCGGCTTGATTCGGTAGAAATTTGACTCCCTGGAGTGGATATTTTTGCTCCTATGACATCAATTTGGACGATGGCTAGTAACCCCTCTCTACTTCTCG